TCACTGCTTTTGTAAATATGGAGATATTTTCATATTTTGTATTGTTTTTGACAAGTTGTGTTTCAAAAGGCATTTGTCCATGTCATCCAAGTTATTGAATTTATTGGCATAAAGTGGTTCATAACATGCGCTTATCTTTAATGTTAATTATGTCTTCCTTTTTATTCTCCCCATTAATAATTTGTGCTTCCTCTTTTTAATTTGATCAGTTTTAGTTTCCTAGGCTGCTATAACATATCGTAAACTAGGTGGCTTGATAACAACAGAAATTTATTCTCTCACAGTTGTGTAGACTAGAAGTCTGAAACTCAAGGTTCCCTCTGAAGGCTCTAGAGCTGTCTTCTTTGCCTCTTCCTTACTTTGGTTGCAGACAATCTTTGGCTTAAAGTTGCATCACTCCAATGTCCGCCTTCATTTTCACATGGACTTTCTATCTTTGCAAGGCCTTCTTATAAGGAAAGTAGCCATTGAATTTAGGGCCCACCCTACCTAGTATGATTTTATCATAACTAATTACATCTGCAAAGACCCTATTTTGAAATAAGGTCACATCTGAAGTTTCAGGTGAACACAAATTTTAGAGGGATATTATTCAGCCCAGTATATATGTCTTACTAGGTGTTTATCAATCTTATTTCAAAAAACTCACTTTCAACTTCATTTTGTGTGTTAATTTCCATCAACTTTGAAAAAGTTTTTAGTAAATATCTCTTCACATATTTGTTCTGTACCATCCTTTCAATCTCCCCTTTCTGAGACTCAATTACAAGGATGGTAGGCCATTTCTCTTTCCTTCAAACCTGAGACACTCTACAATTTTACTCCATTTTCTCTTTGCTTTTCCATTGGTATACTTTGAATTGCTTTGTTTATTAATAAGATCTTTTCCTTTATGTGTACTCTTACATCATATTCATTTCTAGATTTCTGTGTTTTGCTGTTGTTTCCATATTTCGCTGAAATTCTCTATCTCTTCATGTATGTTTTCTACTTTGTTTTACTAGATCTTTAGGCATGTTTATCATCATCATTACCCTCTGATAAGGTAAACATCTGGATAATCTCAATTGGCTTCTATTGACTGATTGCTCTCTGGATCAAACTTTTTTTCTCCTTTGCATTTTTTTTTTAACTGTGTGCTGTAGACTTTTACAAAAGGACAGTAAGTATGAAAATAATAGTTACCACCAGAAAACAGCATGCTCCTTTTGTTAGGTTCAGAGTATGTATGACACTGAATCAATCTGATATATGGTTGAGAGCAGCTGGGCTTTGTTGCAGCTGTAGATTAACTTCCTCCCTCCTTTCAATTACATATATAAAATTGTATTATATATATATATAATTATATACACACACACATACATATATATGAAACTAGGTCTCACTTTGTTGTCCAGACTGGAGTGCAGTGGTGTGATCATAACCCTGGGCTAAGTGATCCTCCTGCCTCAGCCTCCCAGGTAGCTGGGACAACGTGCATACACCGTCATGTCCAGATAATTTTAAATATTTTTTTGTAGAGATGCAAGTCTTGCTATGTTGCCCAGGCTCGTCTCTAACTCCTGGCCTCAAGCAATCCTCCTGCCTTGGCCTCCCAAAGCACTGGAATTACAGGTATGAACCACTGTGACTGGCCCTTTCAAATACTGAGTGCATAGACAAGATTTTCTTATAACAGAAATTGGGATATGAGCACTGGTGAGATTCTAGTGGGTTTTTTTGTTGTTGTTGTTTCGTTTTGCTTTTCAGCTGAGCTGCCAGTTTTTGAAAGAACAGATTTTTCTTTACACTAATCATAGTAGTTTATTTTAAAATTTCTGGGGCATTTTCCTTATAATCTATTCATGTCCTTGGCTTTCTGTGCCTCAGGTGAACTCTCAGTCATATTATCATGCCCTTTGGAGGACACAGTTCTTGGACCATAATGCCTCAGAGTGAGGTCTGTTATTTTTCTTAGCTTCTTAATAAATGAGCACACCTTTTCTAAAATCAGCACACTGGTTGTTTAAAACCAAGAAGATTTACAACACTAGACTTACAAAGGTACTAACAAGCCACTATTTCCTTTCATTTTGCAGCTAGTCTCTATTGGACAATGAAAGATAAAAGTTATCTTCCTCTTTTACAAATTCATTGAGCAGTTAAAAATATATGATATCTTACTACAAAATACAATATAATCTTAGTAACTTGGATGAATGTAAATGAAGTTCCTAAATTATATCAGATTTTGAGTTTGATTTTCTAAAATCTTATTAAAAGTAGACTAGTTCAGGGTCCTTCTAACTTGATTCCACCACATTTTTTTTTTTTTTTTTTTTGAGACGAAGTCTCACTCTGTCACCCAGGCTGTAGTGTGCAATGGCACGATCTCAGCTCACTGCAGCCTCCACCTCCTGGGTTCAAGTGATTCTTCCGCCTCAGCCTCCCAAGTAGCTGGGATTACAGGCAAGTGCCACCACACCTGACTAATTTTTGTATTTTTGTAGGAACAGGGTTTCACCATGTTGGTTAGGCTGGTCTTGAACTCCTGAGCTCAGGTGATCCGCCCACCTTGGCCTCCCAAAGGGCTGGGATTACAGGTATGAACCACCATGCCTGGCTGATTCCACCATCTCTTACAAGCTTGTAATCAATATTCAATTGGTACAAAGAGAAAAATCTGGGAGAAAGCATTATGAATTCTCAAAATCTTGATATAAAAATAGCAAATACATCCACTCCACCTTCTAATATTCAGTTTTGCGCCTACATCTAATTGCATGTGAGACAAGGAAATGTAGTCTTGCTGTATACCCAGGACAAAAAGGAAATACATTTTTCAGTATTGGTTCACAGTATTTGCCAATTTTGTTAGCTTAAAACATCTTACTTTAAAAGTTAAACATTCAACTCAAAAATGTTGATGGAATTAAAGAGAAATGCCTTAACTGTTCAATCAAGCGACTGTATCTGACAATGGAGGTAAGGTATATTTTGAGGTGAGAACTGTCTTCCATCACTTCAGCATCATGGTTAGGGTTGAACACACATTCCAAATTCTCTTTACTTGTAATCCCTCCACAAACCTATAGTAGTCTCCCCTTATCAGTAGGGATATATTCCAAGACCTCCAATGGATGTATGAAACCACAGATAGTACTAAGCCCTCTATATAGTGTTTTTCCCTATAGATACATACATACATATGATAAAGTTTAATATATATATATATAACTATGATAAAGTTTAATATATATATTAGGTATAGTAAGACATGAACAACAATAACTAATAAAACAGAACAATTATAATAAATATGCCAGCATACTACTCTTGTGCTTTGGGGCATTAAGTAAAATATGGGTTACCTGAACACAAGCACTGAGATACTGCAATAGTCCATCTGATAACTCAGAGGGCTACGAAGTGACTAATGAATGGGCAGTGTCTACAGCATAGATATGTAGAAAAAAGAGACGATTTACATTCTGGGCCGGAGGGCAACAAGATTTCATCACACTACTCTGAAGAGCCTGCAATTTAAAATTTACGAATTGTTTATTTCTGAAATTATTTTAATATTTTCAGACCATGGTTGACTGCAAACAACTGAAAATGCAGAAAGCTAAGCCATGGATAATGTAAGCCAACTGTATGAACATTTTTAGCCTATGTTATTTCTAAGGGTAAAAGTTAACTAATGGAATCCAATATTATCAAAGTTTTTTTGTCTTAAAACAATTTCTTTAATGCATTGGTATGTATCATTAAGGCTCATGTTCTAGGAATGAACAAAGTCCATGTTTTTCCCTGAGCCACCTTCCACATACAAATTTTATAATTTTATAAACTTTGATTCTATCAATTTCCTTCTCCCCACACTACGATGCTTCATAACTAACAGTTTCCTTGACATAGGAATCAGGACTAAATGACATTTTGCAGACGTGTTACACCATGATTTTCAAAGGCATGATACTTTTTTATGGTTTGTAACCAAATTATTTCTAGCAATGTCAGCATTTAGTAAGTCAATTCTCATGGAAATGTCTCCTAGGTTTGCTGCTGTTTAATATAGGCATAGTATTTTATTCCATTTCTGTCTTACTAGTCCAGAAGACTTCAAAAATATTATTTATTGATTCTTGTATCTAGCAACTAATTTATAATTGAGGTCTCCAATACATAAGCATTTTTCTTTTTTTTTTTTTTTTTTTTTTTTTTTTTTTTTTTTTTTTTTTTTTTTTTTTTTTTTTTTGAGATGAAGTTCCACTCTTGTTGCCCAGGCTAGAGTGTAATGGCGCAATCTCAGCTCATAGCAACCTCCACCTCCTGGGTTCAAGTGATTCACCTCTCTCAGCCTCCCAAGTAGCTGGGATTACAGGCAGCTGACACCATGCCCAGCTAATTTTTTGTATTTTTAGTAGGGACGGGGTTTCACCATGTTGTCCAGGGTGGTCTTCAACTCCTGACCTCAGGTGATCTGCCCGCCTAGGTCTCCCAAAGTGCTGAGATTACAGGCATGAGCCACGGCACCTGGCCCACCATATAAGCATTTTTCTTTGAATTGCTCCACTTGACAGTTTAAATGTTTCCTCACCATCTTTTCTTCTAGCCAGGGAACCATCTCTTCTAAAAAGATAAACCTGATTAATCTTCTTCAAAGATTATTTGGCAAACCAGTTCATCACTGGGCACTTTCCAAATGAGCATTTTTTTCTTTTTAATTTCAGCAGGGATCTGTAAACTATTCTTTACCTGTACATACAGAGGTCCAAAGAGAAACAATCCAATCATTTGCATAACCAGAAAAAATGAGAAAAATGTTTTTGTAGATGCATGTATCACAATTATTTTGCATCTATTTTAATTGGATTGCCAATTTTGTTCTTTAGAATTTCAGCTCTACAAAGGTTACATTCTATTAAAAAGGCTCAATATTTACCCATACAAGACTACTTTTACAACTAATTATAACTTGCTACAAATAAAAATCTAAGAAGCTCTTGACTACAGTTATGACTTTTGTTTGATATTAATCATATCTGCTGTTATTCCCATACTTCTCAATATTACATGAATACTCACCTTTGTTTTATATAAAATGTGACTAAAGTAAATTTACCTATAGGTACCTCTCTCCTTCCCTGGTGATTAAAGTCTCACACTAGAGACTAAACTTCATGAAATTACTGCAAGCATGTGTATTATAGAACAATTAGCTTAGGATCTGGCATTGCGGCCAGAAAAAAAAAAATAATAAATCATTACCTACAAAATTTCTTGGGCAAAACTTAGGCCATGAAAGGGCTCACATGAATCCAGACATACTTTCCTTTACAGGTAGATTTCAGAACAACAACAAAAAATTTAAGACTATACAAAATGATTTAATATGATAAAACTTCCATTTCAAAACCCAATTCTAAAGGATTTACTGACCAATGCTGATTATTTAGTCATGGAAAATGTCTCTTATAAAAGTGCTCCCAACAAAACATGATCTGCAATGATTTACAAAACCTGAAATGCTGGGCTGTGCAGACTGCTTGGTGCATGTCAGGTTGTTTTTTTCTCTTAAATAAGGTATAAAAAACTATGATATCACAGTCCTTCGACTTTATTTTCTGGGATAAAAAAGTATAGGTATAAGTGTTTTTAATAGTCTTCTTGATGATACCCTTTAAAATAACCTATCAAATGGCTTGTTTCGTGTTTCCTGATCATCAGTATTCATCAATGTTACTGTCAGCCTTGATTAACTGGTTGAAAATTTCAGAGCAGAATAAGCAACTTCCGTGAACCTTTCCCCAATCCCTGAGAATCATAATCATTACAGAAATATTTTATCTTTTCATCAAATATCTCTGGAAAGTAGCCGTGTTCGCTCATTGTTAATAGGGCAAGGTGCAGTGTCATAGAGGGTTAATCCATGTAAATTGGCTTCCACCCGTAAAGAAATTTTCTGGAACAGAAAAGAAAATTATATAGAGAAGTTTACTCCTTAAAGAGAGATCACTTCTTCAATATGTTCTATAGACTACCTTGTGATTACAAATGTGAGTCAATTCTAATGGTAATAAGAGTGAGATCTACTGTCAAAGGAATTTCCTTTAGTACCAATTAAAATCTGGAAAAACCAAGCTTCTCTATTCATAAAGTTCCTTGTTTTTCTTCGGTTTCTACAAGAATCAGTAAAACCAAATATTGTGAATGAACTATGTAAAGGTACTCAGAATCCATAAAAAAATTCTATGTAAGAATTTCTGAAATGTATTTTATAGCCCCATTTTCAAGGCTAAATCTTGCTAGCAATTCACTACTTCTTTAAACACAGAAACAATTTACCTGAAAAGTTACATCACTTGTTTATGGTACCAAATCATAAACAGTTAATTTTCAAAAAGGCTGGAGAGTTGTCTATGGGAAGTTCTCTTAGTCCACCTGAAGGAAGTCTGAGTGCATAAGTCTAACACTGTATTTTCTTACCTGAAAATCACGAATATAAGTCAGGAAAAAACCAAAGAAGGAAAATGACATAGACCATTCTGCTGCTGTAGTGATCATGTGAAGCACATAACCCTGAGTGAAAGGGGGAAAAAAAGAATAGTTTTGTGAAATTTCATTTAAATGATCTATATACTATTTTTAAATAAAAAAACACACAACTCTTATAAAATAATCTGGCTTCCGAAAATCAACTCTTGACTTACCAGGCATATCATATCTCTAGAATTAAAGAGTCAGCATTAGGCAGTCCTCCTAAATGACACTTTGTTTCACTGGGGGCAAATAAAATTTCCACTTAAAGAGCTAAAACAGAACAGGATCATTTTTACTCTACAATCGAGAAATTACTACTGCCTTTCCCAAAGCCATATGATTCATAATATGTGACTAAGACAAGTTTGACAATACTCAGAATAAACTTAGTAAGTGCTATATTTATGATATTGAATTGTATATGGGTTACAATTGGGAAAATCCAGTAAGTTATTTCATTCATTCATTTTCACAAACATGTCCAATTTGGGACTAATTCTTAAAATATTACTTAAAACACCACCAGGTGGTTTGTGAAAACAGATGAATTCATGTTATTATTTCGTATATGTCCCTCCTCCTTTATTCTCAGGGTCCAAGATGCTATCCATTCAGATATCCACTATATTGAAACCTAAATGCAGAGTCCATAATCAATTTCCAGATAACAAAAAGTGGAAGAATACATCTTTTCAATTCAGAAAACAAGTATTCAAAAAACAAATAATCTCAGTTGGGTATATTATATACTATACCCATATTTAGGTATAGTTTTCTGAGTCAATTTCTCAGAAAACTCTTTTGCCACCACAATGCTCTTCATATTTTGATAATATCTACATATCACAGGTGACAGGAGAATATGGATGATTCTACATAAACCCTACCATATCTAGAAAATAATCCTAATACAGACCTGATTATTCTACCAGAAGACTTTCATTGTTACTGATGAAATGAAAAATACATCAAGATTAACCAAAATAATTATCTTTAATATAAAACTAAGTTTTATAGACTGTAAGTTCTTACTTTGTCCTCAGGGTTCCAATGGAGTTTCTGTTCTAAATCAGTCCCAAAATTGCCACTGTGCAAAACTGATGAGCAAATCAGCACTATAAAAACACAAGTCAAGGAAGAATCTCAGAGAAGAATGAAAATCACTTTAAAGTCTAAAAGGATTACTCACATATTTATTGCTAAGGTCTGAACCCATTTTCTTAAAGACTGAATGTTACACAGCAGTGGACTGTAAACTAAAAATGTGCTCTGAGGGTCACAACGATATGGTTCTCACAGTCAATTCCCATCTCTTTGTTCAGAAAACTAGCAGTTCTGTCATAATCTTTAACTAGATAATAGTTCTCAGAGAGGACCTTTACTCATCCTTCATTTCTATGAAGTGAATATGATCAGGCTAAACAGTTTTTTGTTCCTAGCTCAATTACTGAGGTACTGTGTACAATCTGAATTTCATATTTTAAAACCTTTAGTTTAGGATTGTGAACCTAAGAATCTCTCCTACCAAAAAAAAAAAAAAAAAAAGTTCTTACAATGCACCAATAGTGTTCACTTAAATTTTGTCATTCAGTTCCCTTCCAAGTATAGCCACACTGTACTGTGAAGGATACTGCTAAATGCACTTACTCCACACCAGATAGCCAACAATAGTCTGATCCAGAAGACTTGTTTGCCATGGATTTTAGGCTGCATTTTGTAGGAAAGGATGGTCTGAACAAACATATACAATGAGCCCATACTAAAGGTGAGCACAGCTCCACTTACATGTGCAGCAAAAAGGGCTGTTTTCTGAGAGAGAGAAAGAAATAAGTCAACAAAAGAAACCCAGAACACATTGGCAACACAACATTTAAAAGCACAAGCCAGAGATTTCAATAGGACATTCACTAAGTAGAGAAGCTCAGCCAGTTCTACAAATTACTTTCTGAAGTAATTTTCTCTCCTAATACTCAGCATAAACCTGAGGATTAGAGTAAAACCAAACTATTTCATATACTACCACTGAAAATATCATATGAATTATTTATTATTTTCTTCACTTAATAATTATGTTTACTTGGTGCCTATTAGGTGCTAGGCACTGTTCTAAATCTTCAGATCCACTAGACAATAAAACAGACAAAAATCCAGCCCTCACAGACTTTAGTAAAGGTACATAAACAATAAACATAAACTTTAGAAATACGGAAATTCCAGTGTATCTGGTGGTGATAAGGGTCATAGAAAAAGCATAGTACAATAAGAAAAGATTGGAATGGACTGCAGTACTGGGCATAGGGAGTTTCCATTTAAATTCAATTTAACTGTAAATAAATTTAAAGACTCAAGAAATTAAAACATGCTTCCTTGGCTATAGTTTGATTGGTTTTATATAGTTACACTCCCATAAGCCAAGGAACACCAAGGATTACTGGTAATCCCCAGAAGCCAGGAACAGATTCTCCCTCTGAGCCCCCGGTAGAGAATCAACCCTACCAACACCCTGATTTTAGACTTCTGGACTCCCGAACTTTGACAGAATAAATTTCTACTCAGTCACCCAGTTTGATATTTTATTATGGCAGACCTAGAAAATTAATAATTCTGCTTACTAAACTCTTACTACTCTCCTTTGATACATTTTGTAAGAAGAAAAAAAATTTCCTTCAGTAGATAGTGAAGACACTTACCATGTATTTATTTCACTGAACACCATATACAAATTTGTATAAAAAGAAATTCAATTTTTATTTTTTAAGTTAGATTTTTCAAATACCATCTTATAGCAATTATCAGGCATCTCTCTAAATGCAGGCAGCCATAGCAATAAGAGAATTTTTTCCAATCCTGCATAGTTCCTTTAGCCTCTTAGTAAGTTACTAAACAATTAACGAAAGCATGTTTGTCCTAAGTACTAAACTAGGTGCTGGAGATACAATGGTGAACAAAACCATTGTGCTTCCAATTAATAAAGAAATACATCAACTAAGAAATAAAAATAATAAATTTAAACCACCATGGATATAAAAGGCATTATGGCATACCAAATAGAGGAAAACAGCATGTGAAAGGGAGTTAAATACGCTTGTGCTATTTAAGGAGCACAAAAAGGCCAGTGATATATACAATGGAGACATTAAGAAGGGGAATAATGTAAAGTTAGGCTTGAGAGGTAGAAATAAGCCAGATCATACAAGATCTTTGAGTTAGTTAGGCAGTTTGGTGGTTTAGCAAATTATTTTTTTCTCTCTTGATTGTATCTCCTTTCACATAATTTTTAAACCTGTAGAGCTTTAAGCAAGGGCACAGGGAAGCAAAGTAAGATGTATCTACATTTCCAAAAGATCACTTTTACTGCAATATGAAGAAATGATTAAAGGAATGTAAGAATGAATGCACAGGAACCATTGAGGAGGCTATGGCCAGTAGCTCAGGTGAGAGATGATGAAATCTAAACTACCTGAGAAGACAATAAAGATGGAAGTAAAGATAGAAATGAAAAGAAGTGAATGTCTTCAAAAAATCCTCAAGAAGTAAAACCAGTAAGTCCCAACTCCATTTAAAACATAGTGCTAGCCTCTCTTCCAAGCCAATACCTGCAAGGGCAAACCTTATAGACCTGACTTTGTAAAATTTTTCCTGTATAAATCACCTAGGGTTTGTCCCATAAAAGAAAAGGGGGAAGTGGAGGAGGAAGCAGTGCACTCACCACTTTAATTAAATAGTAAAGGTTTACTCTGGAAATGAGGGAGATCCTGAGTAGTAGAGCGGTGAGAAAAGAAAAAAAAATTTTTTTTAATTAAAAAAAAAAAAAGAAAGGTAAGAGCTGTTTGATATTTGGGTGATGCTACAGGGTCTGCTTATAAACAGTGCTCAGCAATACAGCCATCAGTGAAAGATGAAGAGGGCATCTAAAGTTGCATGAAGAGATGTTATCAAGAGAGAAAAAGTAATTTAATTCAAAATTACAAGTCCAAAGGGACTCTTGTGGTGAAGGTAAACTAGAATAAAAGCTAAAAGCAAAACAATAAAGTATATAGGCTACCTTAAGTAAGTGAGATAAAAGGTGGAAAGGCAGCTTGTGTGGGTGCTATCAAGAACTGTTACTGGAATTTGCTGGGCTGTGTAAACAAATGTTGAAGATTCATTTTTACCGTAAAAGTAATGAGAAACATTGTTATATTGACCAAGAGACAAGTGAAACAGAGAATCACCATTTTTAGTGTGACACTAAAATTCCCCAAAACATTTAACAATGAGCCACAGAAACTGATTAGGGAAGGCAGAACTCTATTTGTGGTACAGACAGCTAGCTAGTTGTCCATTCAAATTGTTGTTCTCCTTTTATAGTATAAACTAGCTGCTGGGAATTAACGTCAGCAAAACTACATTTTTTTCCAGGGTCCATTTCTTCCAACTTGTGTACAACCCCCTGCACCTCAATATCTAGCAAACATGAATGTCAGTGGAATTACATGAAATTACATGAATTTTTGTCAGGTGACAAAAATTCTCTCCTTCACCAACCCCAGCTTAGGTTCCTTTGAACTCTCTTGTCAACTAGGTCCTGACTTCTGGGTTGCTATGTTCATCTCTGCATTGCCCAATTTTAGCAAGAATGTTGTTAAGTCAGTTTAGCCAGAATCCGCCATCCTCCACATCTTCACTATAAATATAATTATCACCTCAAGTGATGTCTAATCATCCTGGCCTGCCTTCACCAAGAATCCTATTAGGTCACTGCTATGGTTTTGACATTTGACTCCTCCAAATATCAAGTTGCAATTTGATCCCCAAAGTTGGAAATGGGGCCTAATGGGAGGTGTCTGGGTCACAGGGGTGGATCCCTCATGAATAGATTAATATGGGGGTTTGGGGGTGGTAAATGAGTTCTCACTCTATTCACTCCTATGAGAGCTGGTTGTTAAAAAGAGCCTGGCACCACCACCCCTTGCTTCCTCCCTTGCCATGTGAGTTCTGCACACGCCAGCTCCCCCTTTGCTTTCCATCAAAAGTGTAAGTTTCCTCATCGTAACCAAATGCTGGCATCATGCTTCCTGAACAGCCGGCAGAACCATGACCCAAATAAACCCCTTTTCTTATAAATTATCCAGCCTGAAGTTTCTTTCATAGCAACGCAAAACAAACTAAGCCTGTTTAACCAGAATCCCTTAACCCCTATGCTTCCAGCTTAGTAATTTTCCATCCACTAACCACTGCACCCTGCTCCACAACTGTAAATTCCCACTTTTACTTTTATTCAGAGTTGGGCCCAATGTTTCTTTCCTACTGCTCTCTCTGTGGAAAACTGAAAAATATTTGATAAAGGTTGACCACTACTTTAAGTATTTGACATTATCTTTTCCTGAGAAAAAGCTAGAAGAGCTACAGTTCTTCCTTTTATTTCCTCATATACAAGGCAGGACACCTACAAATGCAGGCAATCAATGAAAATACCCACCAAACCAGTAGATAAAATAGGTAAATGACTATAAATTGTTAGACATATTAAAAACTTTTAAAATCTATAATTGTGTCACTTATAATTTATATTAATTTTGTTTCAGTACTGAGTTGAAGTAACCTCCAACTAAGTAGTAATGAATAGTCTAATAATTCATTACTAGAATTACTAGAATTTAGTGGATCCTAAAAAAAGTTAAAACAATTTGTTCAAATTTTTAAATATGACTTTTTCTCATTGCACAAATAGCTATTTCTAATAGGGTCAAAGAATTTAAAAGAAGTGATTTCTATTTTGTTAAGGTAAAGAAATAACAATAGCATGTAACTGAATGCTTCAGGTTTCCCTTTATATGTATATTTATGTACTTAAGGAAAATACCTATGCTGGGCTAAAACACAAACCTGGAAGTTTGCCACAACAGAAAGTCCTAAGCAACTCAGTATTCCAAGTATAAGGCCAGCCTTGTTCAATTTGATGATAAGGTTCTCTTCAGGACTCAGAGCATGAACTTGCTTATAACGAACATAAATGGTAGCAATGCCTGGGAAAAGATAATCCAAAAAACAACAAAGTGATAAATAACTAAGAAATACAGTTGCCAATGAAGAGTTCACAAAGGTCACTGCTATCCAGCACCACAGATTTTCCTTTTAAAATTAATCAGAGAGAATAAAAAGAAATAAAAAAGCTGTAGTTTTGTTTTTGCTTTTAAGTCATGGGGTCTCTCTACACTGCCCAGGCCAGATTCCAACTCCTGACCTCAACTGATCCATTGATTTCAGCCTCCCAAATTGCTGGGACTATAGTCACATACCTGTGTGCCTGGCTCATGCTGTGAAAGTTTAAGAACCTTAAGATTGTATTATGGAACTACTGATGTCTCCAGTGACTAAGCAAACCATTTGCCTTCCACGGGTCTCATATTTACAAATACTTAGAGTCATATAAAACACAAAATATTTTTGTGATTAGCATCAGAATCAGAAGTAACTAGTTCTAGAATATGTATAAAATGGGCATAGGCAAAAATCTCAAAAGCTTGTATGTGTCACACTCATATTATTTTATTTCAAATTACAACTTGGCTCAATAAGATGCAGTAGCCCACGCCTGTAATCCCAGCACTTTGGGAGGCCGAGGCGGGTGGATCACGAGGTCAAGAGATCGAGACCATCCTGGCCAACATGGTGAAACCCCGTCTCTACTAAAAATACAAAAGAATTACCCAGGCGTGGTGGCACGTGCCTGTGGTCCCAGCTACTCGGTAGGCTGAAGCAGAAGAATCACTTGAACCCAGAAGGCGGAGGTTGCAGTGAGCCGAGATTGTGTCATTGCACTCCAGCCTGGGTGACAGAGACTCCGTCAAAAAAAAAAAAAAAAATAGAATGTTGCTCAAAATCAAAACATGGTTCCAACTTTATTCTTTGTTTATCCCAAAGAAACTTAGTTGGGGTTAGTTGTGGTCAGCTGCATCTATAACCCTTTGTTCCCTACTGGTTGCGTAAGAAGTCCACTAAAATCCTCAAGAAGTATTTGGTTATATTTAACAATTTCCATTTGAATGAATAGTAGAATAATCCTATATATATTTTTTAAAGGTTTATTCCCATAAGTCAGCATTTCTAGAAAAGTGTTTTTCTTTTAAAAGTAACATAATTATGATCCATTGTTTTAGTGATAACATACTCTCAAGTATAACAAGTAACACTACAGTGTTGAAAGAAGAAAATACTGTAGCAATTTGGCTATTAAATATCATTATTAATATCACTTTCACTACTTACATAAAACTGCTGCGATATTTAGCATTGCCCCAAATAAGCATTTTTCTGGAGCTACTGTACCAGTGTCACTGAAAGAAAAAAAAGGGAGGTATGTGGATTTCTCACTAGATAGACACATATATTTCTTCTAAGGGATAAGAATACCAGGAGCTACTTCAAACTTCTTATCTTTTATAAGTCCATGAGTTCAACTCATATATCATTTTATACAGAGAACATAACAATTTGAGTTCACAAATATATGCCTACTTCACTTTTTACTCACATCATTTTAGGATTATTTCTCTTCCACATAGTAGAAATCAATACATATTGATTTTTAAAAGCTATCCTCAGTATGCTAAGACTCTGTTATTGACTTACTATCATTCAGGCAGATGCATTTATCTGTCCCACCAGAATATTCCCTAAACACCACATCTTTCACAACTGCCTTTTTGCACCTTTTGCTGACTATGCCTGTATTCAATTAATACCTATTCACTGACTGATCAAATACTAAAAGTATTATCAAGCACTTACCATGTGCCAGGCACCATTTCAGGGACAGGAACACAGTGGTAAATAAAATAGACAATGCCCCTGCCCTCGCAGAGCTTACATTCAAGACGTTTTGAGTCTCTTCCTCTCTATAGTCTTGGAAAACTCCTCTAGCAGATAGTGACTCTCCCGGCATGCTTTCTGAACTTTTATAACTTCACGCTTCTGAACTCACTTACCACACAGCATTGCAATGTAACCACTTGCATGCCTGTCTTTCAGAGCAGTATGCAACAAACAGCGCCAGATTAAAAACCTACCATTTACTTACTGCAGGACCTTACATTCATCCTTTTATCTGCCTAAAAGTATTCCCTTCATTTGCAAAATGGGGTTATTCATTCCCTCCCAGCCTCATCATAACACTATAAGGATGAAATGTAATGCATATTAAGTATCTAGCATAGTAGCAGGCTAATGAGAGATACCTATTAAATATTAGTTCCTTTTTCCCTTCCTCAAACTACTACAAAGATTAAAAGGACAATGTCTCTGGCCTTGAATTGATGTACTACAAGAACGAGATAATCAGGGTCTCAACTAAGACAATGCAATGGGAAGAAAAAAGAAATAGAAAGTTACAGCTGGTAAGAACCCATAAGATTTGTAAACATTTAGATTAGGGGCATTAGGAAATGGAAAGTATTAAACATGAATTCTAAGGCTTTCTCCTTCTAACTTTACAATTCCATGAGTCTTTCTCTTAAAAAAAATAAAAATGTAAAAATAGAGAAACAAAAAATAATGTATTTGTAAAGAAAAATTACAAGATAATAAAATGTATCTTTTGCTACAAAAGATTTTAGTACTCTTTGACCATCTTCAGGAGTAGGGAATAAAGGGTTTTTTGTTTCTTCTACTTTTCAAATTTTCTACAATGTATATGTATTATTCTTAGAAAAAAGAAATCTGTAATTTTCATAGGTATACTCCAAATGATGCATGGGTTTTGGATTACCCTGTAAGTAAACAAAGGCATGCATTTCCAAAATGGTTGGCTAACTGTTCCTTCCTTTGGCTCAGGACAGAATGACATACACTGGCCTACAAATGGAAACAGCCATGCCCATCACCTCATTACCATAGCACTTCATCTCAGTAGTCACCAAATGTTGATCATACATCATCACCAAACAATGTCTGACCATCTAACATCAAAATATATGGTTAACATTATTCTATATGTTAAATATTGGCAAAGTTTAAATGTTTTTAGATTAAATATATATATATATATATATATATATATATATAAATTGTAATATTTCTTCTCTCACCCCAGTGGCTAGGCACTCCCTTGGGCAGCCACTGCTTGAACCAACTAAGAGAACTCTTGAAGTACACTTGTAGCAAAATTGCCTTTGAAGTGAAATTTACATTTGGTTATGTCTACTGGAGCTGTTAACAGCTACACTTTTTTTTCTTTTTTTGAGACAGTCTCACTCTGTTGCCCAGGCTAACAGCTAAACCTTTTGGATAGGATGTAGGAACTGAAAAGAATTTTGCAGACTATCTAGCTTAACTCAACCATTTTGCAGATGAAGAAAATGAGCCTACAAGAAATAAAAATAAGTACTAGAGTTTAAATATGTGTGTCAGAATGCTGGAGAAAGACCTCAGGGTAATACTAAGTTCAAGAGCAGAAAAATTTAAAAAGCAGAAGGGGCAGAACAGAAAAGGAAGTGTCTAGGGTGCTTTAAAGAAAATCACATGCAGTCCCATCAAGGAACTGAAACTCTGAAAAAGAACTAAATGGCCTCTTATATTACAGTAGTCCCTTAGTATCTGTGGGGGACTGGTTCCTGGGTCCCCATTGTATAACAAAACGGGGATGCTCAAGTCTCTTATATAAAATGGTGTAGTATTTGCATATAAACCATGCACATCTTCCCATATGCTTTAAATTGTCTCTACATTACTTATAATATCTAATACACATCATTTCATTCCTGTGGATTCAATATAGTACTTGGCAGTGGGCAAATTAAAGTTTTGAGACTTGATATTTATTTCCCCAAAATATTTTCAATCTATGGTTGATTGGATGTATAGAAGTGGAACCCATGGATACGGAAGGCTGGCTGTATTAAAAGTTCTTCAAAATGAAAGTTCTCAGATGGAGACAAGTTCTCAGATGGAGAAAAAGAAATACTCGGAAAGACTCTCAAAAATCTTAAATATGTATCTTCCGGAGTTACTAAAGAATAGTGTGGCTACTTAGGCTACACGTTCCACTAGCAGAGTGGTAAAATCAAATTATTCCTCGAATTGGAACCTTAAATTATAAAACATTTTTGGGTTTTGTAAATCTTCCCAAACTGCATCCAGTCTGTTTACATCCTTTGTGCCGTACCATACCACTGTAGAAACAACACATGCAGACAGTAATGCCCAGATCTTTTCTCGACATTTGTAAAAGATAAATTTAACCTTCCAATTTATCATTCTTTAAAAGATTACTATTTTCTATGTTGGAAAGGTTATTTTTCTGAAGGTAAACAAATGAATAAATGAAACAACCACAACTGCAGCAAAACAAAGAATATTGCTCAACAACAGCAACAAAATTTGGCATCTCTGTGAGGAGATGATGTTTCAAAGGCATCACATAGAGGTTGAATACTTTTAGGGGAGGACCTAGGTGAAAGCATTTAGATTAAAACACTGGTAGTTGCTTAATCATATTTAATAATAACAGTATTTTAATAATTACATTTTCTTCATCTCCCTGTCCTATGTAATTCATTCAACTTTTATACAGAGGTTTAAACCTCAATAGCTCAGAAACCATTCATATGATTATGATTTCCTCATATCTTTTCTGTGAATGCATACATTGATGCAACACTTTTAGAGGTATGTTTGGAAATGTCAAATAAAATATGTAGATGCCCTATTACCTGTTTAGCAATCTTACTTCTAGAAATCTACCTCACATCAGTATCGATACGTTGTTATACGTAATGAAACCTTCATTATAGCACTGTTTGTAACAGCCAAAAAAAAGGGAGGAAGAATAAGCAATTTGTATATCAATATCCTATCACTTTTTAGTATATGTGCTGCCGAAGCGAGCACCATCCTATCACTTTTTATAAACAGAACAAAATTTAAAACGCAAAACAGTGAGAAAGAAGGAGAAAAAAAGAGTTTTGAACAAAAGTGATAACAAGATAAACCAAACTCTGGAAGGAAATCTACCAAACTATGAATTACTTCTACGGTATAGAAACTGGAGGCTGTCAGGAAGGGATTTTCACTTTTTATTTTTATAATCTCTCTAGTACTGTTTAAAATTTGTTGTAATAATTACTTATTGCTATTGCAATTTTTTTTTTTTTTAAAGAGGGTTATGGACATAGCATATGCAACTAACTACCCATTCTTCATTCATTGTAAGATTTCAAAAACATTATTGATAAATTTTTGGCAGCATAAAGAGTAAGAGCTTAGCTTCTAGAGTCAAACTATTCAGGTTTAAATCTTGGTTCCAACACTAACTGAGTTGTATTCCCATGAGCGAATCACTTGACCTCCCTGCACCTCATTTCCTTTTCTCTCAAATGAGGATCACAGTTCCTACCTCATCTGGTTGCTATAAGGATTCAACTACTTAGGATATGAAGAATGCTTAGAAAATCACTTCCTACACAGTAAGTATATCAAGAAATGTTTGTCATTTCCATTATCTTTTCATATTATTATTATTGTTTGCAGCATATTTTTTAAATTTAAGGGGAGAATCATTCTAATTCTATATTCTCAAACAACTTCAAATACTTAGAAAACAAGGCATTAAGGAGTCTCAGTTCAATAACCAGTTCACAAACTGAATCTTACTGGGCTGTCTCTACATTTCTCTATCACATAAAAAAAGTCAAATTCAATTCCTTTTTACATTCCCTTTATTGTTGTAATGTCAGTGTCAAATCTGATTTTTAAAAGCTTGACATTAAATATTGGCTTCAATGTTAAAATAAGAATGAGGCATAAAGAGTCTGCCATACAAAGAATACATTTCACTTACCTGATATAAGGTAAAGCTGGGTCTATATGGTGGAGTGTTATTGCAGTAATGTATGAAAATATGAAAGCAGCAGACGTCCAAATTACAAGGGCTGAAGGAAGGAAACTGAGGCCTTGCTGAAACCACCACATTTCAAACAAGTTTTCTGAAATAGAAAAAACCAATTAGAAAAGATAATTCACAAGGGTTTCCTCATCCTACTTTAGCCATCCATGCCCACAGCCTTGTACTTACCACCCCAAGCTGTTCCACCTCTGAAATCATCCCTTATGCCATACCCCAACACCCACTCTCCTTCACCTTCTTAGTGAGTGGAACCAAGATTCACCACCCACTTGACATAGCTAGAAACTTAACTTTCTATCCCATATTCCCATAGGAAGTACTGAGTACCAAGTACTGTTTATTCTACCTCCTGAATTCATTTCAAATCTACCCCTTTTCTCCATCTTCACTGTCACTACTTTACCCAACAACTATTACCTCTTGGCCAATTATTATAATTTCCTAAGCAGTCCCTATGATATTGCAAAATATAATGTATTTGGTCTTCATCCCATTTCCTGGTAAAAAGCTCTTAAAATCCTTGGCATCTCCAGGGTCTTCTATATGCTAACAAGGCTTGCAGCCCATAGATAGCTTCAGGATGGGAGCTGGTCACAGGAAACACCAAGGCCTAATTAGAGGATTGGATGTTCAGTCCTCCATCCCCAATTCCAGGAAGGCAGAGAGAGGATAAGAGTTATGTTCATCATGCCTGTGTAATAAGGTACCGACAAAAACCCAACAGGACTGGGTTCAGAGAGCTTCTAGACAGCCAAGCATGTGAGGCTCCTGAAGGATGGCACACCCAGACAGAGCGCAGAAGCTCTGTGCCCTTTCCCACATCGCTGGCCTTATGCATCTGGTAAATATAAGCGTATCCCTGAGTTCTGTGAGCCACTCTAGCGAATTAATAAAACATAAGAAGGGGGTACTGGGAACCTTGGTTTATAGTCATCCAGTCAGAAACAGGTAAGACAACCTGGGCTTGTGATTGGTGTCAGAAGTTGTGAGGTAGTCTAGTGGGACTGAGCCCTCAACAAGTGCGATCTGATGCTATCTCTAGGTAGATACCATCAGAATTGAATTAGGAGACATCCAACTGGTGTTGACTGGTGGAGATTAATCTCTATACTTGTTGATGATCAGAGAAGCATTGTGTTGATTATTGAGTGAGAGAATAGGAAAAACACTTCGGTTGGTTTTTCTTTTCTTTTTTTTTTTTTTTTTTTTTTTTTTTTTTTTTTTTTTTTTTTTTTTTTTTGAGACTAGTCCTCACTCTGTTGCCCAGGCTGGAGTGCAGTGGTACAATCACAGCTAACATCAGCCTTGATCTCCCTGGCTCAAGTGATCCTCCCACCTCAGCCTCCAAAGTAGCTGGTCCCACAAGTACACACCACCAGGCCCAGCTAACTTTTTTTTATTATTTGTCGGGATGAGGTTTCACTATGTGGCCCAGGCTGGTCTCAAACTTGTGGGCTTAAGAAATCCTCCTACCTCAGTCTCCCAAATTGCTCGGATTATAGGTGTGAGCCACTCAGCTCAGCCTAGTTTTTCTATTATTTCTCAGTCTTCCTTACTATGCCTTAACGGTGTTTATGGAATACCTGAAATATGTGAAATATGTTCTTTCCTCAACAGAATTACAGGTTAAGACAATTGTCCAAGGTCATAGAGCTGGATGTAATGGAGACAGGATTCAAACTCAAGCAATGTGACTCTAACACTAAATCAACTATGCCACACTGCCATAGCAAATTTCTTGCAGATCTTCAAATGTGTCACGTGCTCTGGCACACCTTCAAACCTTCATGGTGACTAGAACACTACCTACCCAGTTAACATTTATATGTTTTCCAAGGCTCAATCCTTCCAGGTTCAGTTGAGGGTCCCTGCTTTGTTTTTAACAGCACCCTTTACTTCCCCAACCAGGGCACTCACTGTACTTAACTTGCTTGTTTGGTTTTCTCTTCCTCACTAAACTTTAAGTTCCGTGAGAGTAGGAAACAACTGTTGTGTTCACTATTACATTTTCAGCTCCTACATGGGGGCAGCAGGAGACGGGGCAGAGACAGAGGGCTTAAATATACCTGTACCACACATCACCACTTTCTTCCTTGAATTCCAGACTAAGGATGTTGTTAAGTAAGAATGAGTCAATAATGTGAATTAAGAAACACTGGTACAACTTCATGCTTTTAATTCTTTTAATTTTTAAAAATATAGAAATACTTTTAAATTACAGTACTTCTATGCATGTGAGAATAATTTCATGTTTGAAGGAGTATCTTTTCCTATTTTGATGACCTAAAGAAATAAAGTATTTTTCATGAACTTTTTTACTAGTTACAGCTTCCTCATCTGAGACTGACTTTCCAAAGAATGAAATCTCACCCATTTTTGATTTGTATTTGTCATTTACTCCGACCATCTGATTTGTTGCTAAATATGTACATTTGCATTTCGTAATCTCCTCTCTTCTCTTCCTTTTTCCTTGTCAGTCCTTAACCTCCCATTAACATTTTTTTTCTTCATCTGTTCAGTTAATCACAACTCCTTGCCAAAATCCTATTGGTGCTTTCTTCAGCACAGGTTTCCAGGACAAGAGTTCTTAATTTACATGATTTTGAGTCATTTCTAGGATCTTTAATTTTTCATCTCTCATCTCTTTAAATGTTAATTTCTGTTTCTGATCATTCCTATAAGTCCTTAGGAGTCTCTGTCAGTTCAGCTGACTCTTGCACATATGTTTTATGGCTTTTGACTGTGAGCTTGTATTTAGACAATTTTAAAATCTGGGAGTATTCTAAAAGGCTTAAATGAAGGGTGAGTCATTACAGCGAGGATCTGTATTTGTTTTTTCCAGACACTATGGTATATTACCAACCCAGGCCGACTTTATGTTAATTTCTTGGCTTCTGGATTTTTAGACAGTGTAGGTATATAAATGTGAACCTTGACTATGAGTGATGGCAGACCCTCCAGTTTCAAGTTCTCAGGTAGTATCTTCATTCCTCCACCTGGAGCTGTGGTGAAAATTTACAAATTTCTTTGTGATCTCTCTTTACCAGGAGGGAGATATTTTTCTGGCCCACCTTTGAATGAGTATGTAGACTTTTGTGGGTCCTCAGTGAATTTGGAGGAAGGTGCTTCTCCAATACCATGAGTTGTACAATTTAAACTTTATTCTAGAAAAACATGACCCCCTGAAACACAGGTACCATTTACATCAACTACCATGGAATGGCACCCATGGGAGCTGTGTGCCTGGGAGGTTACAGAGGTATGAATTCTGTCTCTCCACTTTGGGTAGAAAGCAGCCTGTCACCTGTCCCTGATTGTGCTTCACTTTTGCTGTCAGCCAAATGCCCTCAAAGGAAACACTCTGCTAGTATACTGCTCTAGTTTCAGCTCTCTTTTTTTTTTTTAACCTTTTAGCCCTGGAGATTTCCCTTTCTTTCATAGAAGACCTGTCATCAATTTAATGAGCAATGTAATTTATTCAGCATTTAGGTATTTTGGCAAAAGTGATTTTCAAAATATTTTGTCTACCTCATTGCTAGCAGCAAAACCTCCTCCCTCTTTTGTTGTTTTACTTGTCTAAATCCTTCCTTTTTTCTTCAAAAGCTCAAATACTATCTTCCACAGACAATGTCACCTAATCCATTTGTATATAGAAATAGGCACCCCTGACCGGGTGCGGTGGCTCACGCCAGTAATCCCAGCACTTTGGGAGGCCGAGGAAGGCAGATCACAAGCTCAGGAGTTTTAGATCAACATGACCAACATGGTGAAATCCGTCTCTATTAAAAATACAAAAATTTAGCTGGGCATGGTGGTGCATGCCTGTAATCCCAGCTACTCAGGAGGCTGAGATAGGAGACTTGCTTGAACCTGGGAGGCAGAGGTTGCAGTGAGTAGAGATTGTGCCACTACACTCCAGCCTGAGTGACAGCACAAGACTTTGACTTGGAAAAAAAAAGAAAAGAAAAGAAATAAGCAGCCCTTTCTCTGAGAGCACCTGATTTGTACATCTTTTATAGCTCATTATATTCTACAGTATGAAAAGTGAGAACAGTGTCTTAAAGGAATAAAATTCTTCCACTTCTCTACCAAGCATAGCAGAGGGCCTTGCCCAAGGTAATCCCTCAATATTTGTTGAATGAACAGCCAGAGCAAAATCCTTGTAATTCCCAAAACTGTTCATGATTTTTCTATTTCAGTAAACAACAACACCATTTTTTCAGGTTATCAGGATTCTAAGACTTCAGAGGAATCTTAGGTTCTCTCTTATAAAGTCCTCACATGCTGTCACCAAGTCATGGCAATTCTACAAGTCATTTAAACCATTCTTCTTCCCAATTCACACTGTAACCATGTGATTCTGACTTTGAATTCTCTTGGCCTGCTTTTTCCTTCCCCTTCACCCATTCCACCTGCATTACCAAATTAACATTCCTAAAGTATTCCTCTGCTCAAAACTTTTAAATAAAATTGTGTGAACTTGAGCAAGCGTCATAACTTCACTGAACCAGTTTCTCCTTTGAAAAATGTAATAGGAGAAATAGGGGAGGGACAGAAGGGGGTGGGGAGTTGGGGAGAGAGAGCATGGGGAGAAATGCCAGATATAGGTGACGGGGAGGAAGGCAGCAAATCACACTGCCATGTGTGTACCTAAGCAACAATCTTGCATGTTCTTCACATGTACCCCAAAACCTAAAATGCAATAAAAAAATAAATAATAAATAAAATAAAATAAATAAGAAAAATGGAATAATGTGAGGCCGACATGGTGGCTCACGCCTGCAGTGCCAGCACTTTGGGAGGCTGAGGCAGGTGAATCATGAGGTCAGGAGTTCAAGACCAGCCTGGCGAGCATGGTGAAAACCTGCCTCTACTACAAATACAAAAATTAGCTGGGTATGGTGGCATATGCCTATAATCCCAACTACTCAGGAGGCTGAGGAAGGAGAATAGCTTGATTCATGGAGCCGGAGGTTGCAGTGAGCTGAGATTGTGCCACCACACTCTAGCCTGAACGACAGAAGAGGACTATCAAAAAAGGAAGGAAGGAAGGAAGGAAGGAAGGAAGGAAGGAAGGAAAGAAAAATGGAACGTTATCAGCACAGACTGTACCATCTGATGCAGCAACTACTGCTGCATGTAACTATTTAAATTTAAATCTCAATAAATTAAAACTAAATAAAATTTTTAATTCTTCAGTCACACTGGCCACATTTCAAATGCTCACACGCCACGTGTCTAGTGGCTACCATGCAAGACAGTAAAAATTTAGAACATTTCCATGACTGTGGAAAAGTTCCACTGGACTGTGAGGGGTAGTGTTTGTACAGCTTATACTGAAAGCACAAGCAAAGACCCTAATGCACTGATGATGGATAATAAATGGTAGTTTTTAGTATTATCTGTTAAATAGTATAAAATAATACCCATTTCATAGAGGTTTATTCACGGATTAGATAAGATATGCAAAGTATTATCAGAGATAATCAATATGTACTTGTTCCTCTTATAATGTGAAAAATGAATTACCTGTTTTACAAGTTCACAAAATGTTAAGTCTTCAGATCTGCTCATACCTGCACCTTTTGTAAATCCTAATATCCACACACAAAGAAAATAAGAAGTTTTTCTCTCAATCCACATAATTTAAAACATGTACAGTTTTAAGTCAACACACCAATATTGTTCATGGGCAGAATACTAGGCTATAGCATTGTTAACAGGTTAATTTTCTTTAAAGAGTTGGCAACTGAGTTTTTCATAATGATGTTGTACCATCTTAAATAATGTTTTAATTCCAGGATATCAATTTTCATGTGCATTCTCACATCCAACACCTTCACTAGGTGAAAAAGGATAGAAGGAAAAATATTGAGTCTTCTCCTATAGAGAGACAAAATGAGGGAAAAAGTAGCTTTGTTATTAAGCCAAATAAAGCAGTTGCAAGTCCATGTGATGTAAGGTAAAGAACACAGCTGTGAAGTGAGATTTATCTAAATGCAAGTCCTACCTTTACTACTGACCAACTGTATGATTTCAGGCAGCTTACTTAGCTTCTGAGTTACAGTATTCAAAGAGTTGTTCTTTGGAGTGTAACAGAATAAGCATACACTATAATAATGATAGATGATTTATTAATTCTGTAGTCATAAAGCCACAGGTATGGAGAACAACCTCTATGTATGAATTTTTTCTATATATGAATTATTTTGGATTTGTATCTTCTTAGGCTTTCAGAATCTTACTTGTTTAAACTGGCAATTTACAGAAGCAAGACTTGAAATGGTTTACCAGTTTGTGAATGACAGCTGAGGAATTTAAATGCATGGACTAGGTGAGGAAGACTAATTGTCAATGTGTTTTTGCCTTTGAAAGCTGCAAGCATTGCTGAGTAATGGCCAACCAAACAAAATTAAATTTTAAAGATTCATAATTCAGAAAACCGTTCAAAATAATTGAGAGTATACAGGAATAAATTTCATTGGGCAGTAAGAACATTTAATAAAAATGTTCTTGCAGGCCAGGCGCGGTGGCTCACACCTGTAATCCTAGCACTTTGGGAGGCCCAGGCCGGCAGACCATGAGGTCAGGAGATGGAGACCATCCAGGCCAACATGGCAAAACCCCGTCTCTACTAAAAATACAAAAATTAGCTGGGTGTGGTGGCGTCCGCCTGCGATCCCAGCTACTCGGGAGGCTGAGACAGGAGAATCACTTGAACCCAGGAGGTGGAGGTTGCAGCGAGCTGAGATCGCTCCACTGCACTCCAGCCTGGCAACTGAGCGAGACTCCGTCTCAATCAATCAATGAATGTTCTTGCATCTGCAGCCTAACTTCTCTGCTTTCTGTGAAGTTCCATGAATCAAATCAAAGCTGTGATTACAATGGCTTTTTGTTTGTTTTTTGTTTGTTTGTTTGTTTTACAAATACTTAAATGCCTTTGGTAATAAAATGAATTTCTCATGCTGTCTTCACCAAGTGGTGAATGCTAAGAAATAAGAAAGTAAAGTCTGGATGTTCTAAGTGATCAGTCAGAAAGCTCTAAGCTTCTTTTAGAGGTGCACAGAACCATCAGGCTCAAAATAAAATATAATTTAAAAATACTTACTTTTCTAAACTCTAACTTGACCTCATGACAAACCTAATATTCTCCTAATGGTTAAATTCTAAAGAGTCTAAAAAATTAAGTAATGTTTTTGTAAGATGCGTCTAATGTTACATTAAGAGAAATGAGGACAATCTGTTAATGCAATGCAAAACACAAGAGTTGCATTTGGCTACTGATTTATAAATTAAAATTTGGGAGAACTGGAAAGATTACTTCTACGGTGTTTCTGTGTTTTTCAGATGTATCCTAAAACAAAGCACGGATGTAAAGATACCCAAGACCAGCAGTTTCCTTTCTGTGTGGGACCCACCCACTGTGATAGAATTGAGTGTAAAAAACCGAGCTTCGTGTAAACACACAAGGTCACCAGGGATCATAATTTCAAACTCTCCCCTCCCCCACGCTCCTTCCAGCCACCAGTGTATCTGAGCCCAGAACTAACAACAGGAACGTGTACTCAACCGTAGCTTTTGTGGGACTGGGGTGAAGATTCTTGGTAATCCTCTCCAACAAAACCAGAGGAATTAATTAGACCGCTGATTTTCTCCAGAGGCGCGAAGCACTAGGCCGTTTGAGGATCTCCTCCCCGCTTTGCCTAAGACCAGGAAAAGACGCGAGAGTCGGAACTTGGCACCAGGCACTGCTTGGGGTAGGAGAGGAATAGGGGAGACCAAGGACGCGGACAGAAAGGTGGAGCACGGAGAACTGAGCCCACTGCACTCATCCCCGCCCCCGGCTGCCCCGGAGCCCACCCGCAGCTGCCGCCCGGACCAGCCCCTCTCTGGCGCCTGGCACAGGTAGCCACCGGAGGCAATGAGAGCCAGCATGAGACTCGCGCGGCCGCCACGCGGGTGAGGGGGCTCCAGGCTGCACCCACTTCCCCGACCTGCCAGATCCAACCCTCTGACGCACCCTTCTAGAGCGAGCAGCTCCAGGTGCTGGGGCCCATCCCTTCTCCCCTGCTTCGGCTTACCTTACCAGACAGACCTGCGCCGGCAGCCTGCGCCGAAGCCCGCCGGCTATAAGACAGGGCGGAGCTGTGGGGCGCGCTCCCGAGCAGACCGGTCGGCCCCCGGGGCGCGCTCATGGCCCGGAGGAGCGCGCCTTTGGCGCCGCTCGTTCAGACCCTGTCTCCCTTTACGGCAATCGCGAAAGTGTCGTGAACGCGCTGCTGCCGATCAGTCACCCAGTCGGCTGGAGTCGGAGGCGTTATTTCTAGGGGTGTGTTTGTTGGGGTCGGGGTAAGGCTACCGGTCGCGGTCACCGGGTGTGAAGGATTTGAAGGACATTGTGGGGGCCACTTCTCCCAGGAGGGGTGGAGAGAGGACTGGATGCTCTGGGGCGGATCTTTAGGATATAGCTGTGTATGGACTCGCGCGGGGCGAACGCCGTCCTTCGTCCTGGCGCAGGGTGGCCTCGCGCGCGCGGGGTTGTGGGGAGGCGAGGGGCGACTGCCCCCTTGCCCCTCTGTAGAGAGGTGGGGTGGCGGAGCGTCGGCTCCGGAGCCCGAGGGCTGTTGTGTGGAAGCTGAGTGTAGGGGTGGGAAGAACTGTGGCGGGCCGGCGCTGGGCGGGCCGAGGGGTAGGGGCGTTACCGGTGGGGAACGGACCTTGCCTGTCGGGTCCACACCCTCCTGCTCGAATGCTGGCAAGTGCACCCACCGTGTGGTATCCTCTGCCGGGTTTGCCTCCCTTTAGAAATGTGGTGCTGATGTTTGTGGCTGGGCCTCGCTTCTGCTCAGCAACTTTTCTGGAAATTTCAGCCTATATTGATAAGCTGTGAGATTGCTAGCTGGCATTTATTTCAGCAGTATTCTTGCGAGGAGAAATAACCAGAAGAGTTGCTGGTGTTTGACAGTATTCCCAGAAACACTGCATGAATGGGATCTTTATATTTAGCCATGTTTAACTTGTTTTCTTCAATTCAATGCTTGGCATTTTGGTGTCATTTTTGCCATTTTGCATCATTAGTATTGAATATATGTTTGCTTGAGGTCTTTTAGTTCATCAGTAAATCCAGTATAATAGGCAATTTCATAGTTGTCTTTCAACAAATATTAGTGTTTTGTTTTGTATGTGGGCAAGGAATAAAGATTCATTTCCTACTCCAACTAGTAGGAATGTGTCCAATACACAGATGTTGAGTTGAACGACTTAGAACACAAGTTAGACTTTGGTAAGGACATGAGCATTACTAATTTAGAACCATTGCCATTTACATAAAATTCGAGTTGAGGTACTAAAAGCATTTGGTTTCATATTCGTTTCATGCTGAGAAAAACTAATTAAAGCCCCTTGCACAACTTGTTGACGACTTGTTTTTCTTTTTCTTTTCTCCTTTTTTTTATTTTTTTGCATAACAGTAACAGCAGCTACACTACTTGTTTTTACAACACATCTGTTTAAGAAATAAATTAGATAAATCTGCCTTTATTAACACCAACCACATTTTATTGCACGGTCAATTTCTTTGTTTTCTAGGCTGCGGATTTGTTTTTTAAGCTGGCTAAAGGTGCTGATGTTCTTTTTGAGGGTCATGCTGTGCTGTTTTTTTTTTAAGGGACTAGAAGAATCTATAAAATGCCAAGCTGTTGCTGATTTTTGTGGTGTGTGTGTGTGTGTGTGTGTGTGTGTGCTTTTAAGGGGGAAGAAAGTTATTTCCTCTTTCAAGGAGTGCAAGATTTCACTTCAGCAGAACGCTAGATCTAAGTTGTGTTACACAGCCCTGTTTTTGCTTCTGAGTATGCTGAAAAGGTTTTTGTTTTTGTCAACTTGCTCTGTGTATCACTTGTTAAATAATGCTGAACTTAATCCTGTGATCCTATTAGTTTTCTTTTCTTTTTTTTCTTCCTTTCTTTCCTTGTTCTTTATAATTTGCCCTTCCTTTCTGCTAGTGTAGCCATGACTATTTTTCTTTAGGTAGCCAAATACCTGTGAAAAGACTGTAAACATACTGCTGAATCAGTGCAGATCAAAACTTGGCGCCCTTAGACCTGGTGGGGATGGAAATTCTGGAATTTCACACAACAGATTGGATATTGTGTAAGCTTACCCTATGCACTGCTCAGCAGTTAGAGGTTTTTTTTGTTGTTGTTGGTTATTTTGTTTTAATGTGATATTTGTCAGACTTTCCCCATGCTGAAGTCCACACGGGAAATAAGATAGGCAGTATCCCATTATCCTCAGCTGATATAAACGAAGCTGTTTTGCATGATAGACTTTTTTAGTAAAGGTATTAATTAAATGTCTCTGATTATACTTTTGTGCCTTTGTTGGATTTTCCACGTAAATAGTTATGCTTGCACAAAGAAAATTTTTTGTCTGACCATGTGTTCTCCTTTGGACTTACAAAACAGTTTGTTGACAGCATTCATAACTTAGCTGTTTATGAGACCCCACCGTCCCCCTTTTGAGCTTCTTAAAGGTATGGAATGGTATATTTCAGTCTTTCCGTTTCCTCAGAGTCTAGAACAACTAAGTGTTCATTAAATACTAGATGAATAATTTTTGTTGATTGTGCATAAAGTACTAATTACCTGCCAGCAGAGTGTGGTGGCACATGACCGTAATCGAAGCTGCTCTGTGGCTGAAACACAAGAATCTCTTGAACCCAGGAAGAGGAGGTTGCAGCAAGCCGAGATCGCACTACTGCACTCCAGCCTGGGCGACAGAGTGAGATCTTGTCTCAAAAAATTAAATTAAATATTGATTATCTACTTAGTGCTAAGTATGGTATGAGCTTGTGGGAAAAGAATGTTAACAAGACAGGCTTTGCCTGTGTACTTGTAGAGTAGACAGAACAGTGTGGGGGAAAGACCAAAAAAAAAAAAAATCAAAAAAGTTCAAAGTGTGGTAAGTGCTCTGAAGGCAGCAGAGCGCTAGAGCCAGATTTTAACAGAGTAGGGAAGTTTACTGATGACAAGTGAAAAGGCTACAATAGCTATACGACTGTTACAGTATTATGAAATGACTTACAGCTTTACAGCTGATGGAAATTTTCTACAGTTTAAAATATTCACTTTTACGATTATGATGTATGAAAACATATCCTCAGTTAACAAATAATTTTGGCTGTGTTCTAAAGTAACAGGTTTCTTTATAAGCACATCAGTTGCTCTCCGTTACATCCAAGTAAAATCACCATTCTACCTAAATTCTTTAAACTTCATTTTATCCCATCCTCCCATCTGATTTACTCCTGTCCATCCTTAGTGATCTCTCTTGTACCTGAGTAAGACAAACTCTTTACTGTCTCAGGGCGTGTTCCATTTTCTGGGATTATTCTTCCTCCTGCTCTCCTGAAATGTCTGGTTCCTTCTTTACCTCTGAGCTTGGTATAAAAGCTACTTCTTGAAGACTGCACCATATTTAAAATGTGTACCGCCAGCTGTTTTCTAGCTCAGCACTTTATTTTCCTCATTGTGCCTATCACAGTATATAATTTTATTTGCTTGTTTATAGTTTTAATTTATTTTCGCACTGGACATTGGAGTTGGGATCATGTCTACCTCATTCACATCCTTCATATGTTGGCTGAATGCATTTGAAACTTGTAATTTTGTAGTTTTCTCATAAAAAAACCATTGAGATTGGTGGCTGGGTTTCTAGGCTAGTCAGCAATAATTTCAATTTCCTACTTTTTTCTTTTTGTTACTTGTGCTGTGGTAAGAAAAGGACATTTGCTGCTCATCCTTTTGGGCATAGGCCTGCCTGCATATAAAAATTTCAGGTGGATAGAATAACTTTTGGTTTTTTTTGTTTGTTTGTTTTTGAGACACAGTTTTGTTCTGTTGCCCAGGCTGGAGTACAGCTGCATGATCATGGCCCACTGCAGCCTCAAGCCCCTGGGTTCAAGCAGTCCTCCCAACTCAGCCTCCCGAGTAGCTGAGACTACAGTCACAGGCCAGCATGCCAATCTAATTTTTTTTTTTTTTTGTATAGACGTGGTTTTGCCTTGTTTCCCAGGCTGATCTTAAACTCCTGAGCTCAGGTGATCCACCTGCCTCAGCCTCCCAAAATGCTGGGATTACTGGCAATGAGCTACTGCTCCCAGTGTAGAATAATTTTTTAATATTCTACCTCCTTTCCATATTCCCATCCCATATCCATGTTTCCTTTCTTTCCCTATTGTCCTGATCTTCCTACTGTAGCCACCTGCCCTATGTGGCTCCATATGCTTGCTTTTCATTTGCTAAAATTCAGAAATTTCTATTTTTTTCTATAACGGTTTTCATGGCCATAGTCCCTGGATCTCCGATGTGAAGGTAGGAAGAGTGGAGATGAGCCTGTGGCAGTGACTGCAACCTCTGTATCTATATATATGTGTTGAAAGTAAAGTAGCCATCTGTAGGTCACAGACTACAGGTATCTGAATTTATATTTGCAGTGTTGTTGCTAATAGCTTCACAGATACAATGTTGCTACAGTGTTGGCAAAGAAAACCTTCAAAAACTCATTGTGTCTTTTCAGGTATGAATTTATTCAATGGCTAGAATAGATCTGGAAAGGTTTGATAAAATGT